GGCAGGGGGTGTTGCAGCCCAGCATCAGCTGCATTTTAATGTCATACCATCCCCCTGCCCCTCCCCCTTCCTGTTTGCCCTGCACCCCCAACTCAGCCCTGCCCCTTCCTGGACTTTGGGTTGGTTTGTTTTTTTTTATTAAATAAAGAAATATTGGAAAGAAAAACAAGGCTCCTCTCATTAACCAGGACCTGTGTGGCGGGGGGGCGGGGGGGGGGGGGGGGGATAGAGCCCCAGCACCTCCACCTCCCCAGCCAGGATCTTTCCAAACCAGGGCAAGAATCTGGGTGACCTGGCCTATAGCACCATGTCTCCCTGCTTCTTTAGGCTAGGAGTGGGGGAGAAGCAGACTCTGAAGCCTGGCACTGGTGGGCATTGGGGTCTCAGCCATGTTCACCCAGGCTGTGAGCAGCTGCCAAGCTCCACTCTAGAGCTGGGTGCATTGGGTGGGGGGTAGGGGCAATCTGCCTGGGGTCACACCTATGACACCCCCTCCACCCCACCCTACCCCACCAGCACCAGCTGGGAGGATGCAGGCTCCAGCGCTGGTTCCACTGGTGGGGAGTGCTAGGGACTAACCTACATGCATTGTTTTACCTCCTTAAACTCCCCATGGGCTCAAGGCTGGAGCCAGCTGCTTAAGGGAGCAAGGAAGAAACTCAGGAACAACTAGGGGCTGCTCCAGAGGGAACCCAGGTATCCTGGGCAGTGGGTCAGAGCATCAGCTTGGAATGGGGGGGGGGAGAACGGGACCTTGTGCCAGGGCAGGAAAGTGCAGTGGTTAAAGCCTTAAGCAGGTTTCTACTGCCCATCCTCCCCTGCACATAGGGCCCAGCCCATGAAGTCAGAGCCAGAAGCTGCTCAAAGTCATCTTTATTTAAAAGATAAAGAAATGCTTTAAAAACCCTCTACAAGCCCCCATCAATGCAGGGGTCTATAGGGCAGAAGTGGGGGGGTGGAGGGAGACAGCCAGATGTAGAACTCCTGGGGTGGGCTCAGCCCAGGGGACAGCAGGTCACTGCCCCCTCTATTGACTGAAGCTCAGAGGCCACCTTGGTACCAGGGGAAGAGGATGCCCACAGGACACCTGCCTTCTCTGAGGGTGGAACAGGTGCCACCACGACATCCTCCTACCAAGTGATAGTGGGGGCAGTGGAGGGTCCAGGCCTCCCATTGTCTTTGAAAGGGGGCAGAGCAGGGCACAGACAAGCCACATGGGGGTGCCCCATGGATACCAGCTAGTGGCTTTAGTGGGCTCCAACCTCAGTAGAGTGACCCCTAGTGGCCAGCTCCAGCCTGGGGAAGGGGGGGTGGGGCACAACACCCAGAAAACACCCCACTCCACACCTACCCCATCACATGCACATGAACACACACACGCACACACACTAAGCTCTGCCCCCACTCCCTGCCCAGCCTCAGACCCAAGTCACAAGCGTGAGCTCCAGGCATGTGAGGCAGTTTCCAAGGTGTTCTGGCCTCCATCTACACATGCAGCACCTTGCCCCTCCCCACTGCTACCCACTTCCTCCAGATCAGGACATGGAAGGAGAGAGACTAGGTGGCCATTCAGGACCTGATGACCCAGCTCCATCATGGGACCACCAGAGAAGCCCCTCAAACTACCCCACCCAGGGCAGAAGCAAAGGAAGGAAGGCTGCTGGAGAAGATAGGGTCCCACTGAAAAGGATCCAGGTGGCAATTCATCCACCATGGGATTCACCAGTAGGCCACTGGCCAACCAAACAGAACCCAACATGGCAGCCAACAGGAAGTGGGACATTCCAGCCTATAATGGGCAGAATCCAGCCTCTCCCCCTGGATGCGCCTGGCCAACCATTGGAAGTGGGGCCAACAGGAATACCTGCCCCTTAACTGGCAGCATCCATTAAAGACCTGGTTGGCCACTAGCTAAGCCAACAGGAACCCAACATTGTCACCAACAGGAAGTGAAGCAGAGAGGAAGTCCTGCCCCTACTATGCAAGATCCAGACCCCTATTGGCTGAGGGCACAACTGTCTATAGCAGAGCTTTCCAAACTGTGTGCCGCGACACATTAGTGTGTCGGCGGCAGTGTGTAGGTGTGTCGCGCGAAATGCAAAAATTTTGCGGAAGGGCACCGCGGAGCTCCCTTACTCGTGTCTGCTTCCCTTGGCCCCTCCCCCGGAACTGAATTACTGTGTCGCGAAATGATGCATGTCTAAAAAGTGTGTCACCAACATGAAAAGTTTGGAAAGCTCCAGTCTATAGAGTGCGAGGAGGCCATGGGGTCTGCTTGGTGGGTGCAGTGGGATTAGTGGAAGGTCTCTACCTCCACCACAGTCCAGTCACCCTGGGGGGAGGCAGCATCCTCAGGGGAGAAGCTGGTGACTGAGGTGATGCTGGCACGGGACTCGTCCAGAGGCGACAGCAGCTCACTCCAGCGGCCCAGCTCTGCTTGTGGGGCCCCCCGCTGGCCCCCACCCGGCCCCTGTCCCAGCCCCAGGCTCCGGCTCAGTAGCTGCTGCATCACGGCTGCTTGGAGGCTGCCCAGTGCAAGGGGTGTCTTCTCATTCATGTCTTCCAGCCCTGGGCTCTCAGCACCCCCCTCTGCTTCGTAGATGGTGGAGAGGAAGTCAGGGGCGCAGGGCGCCCAGCGCGGCCCGATCCCACCTGGAACAGGGCACAGGAGCATGGGTGGGGGGGAAAGGAGACATTCCCCTTGGGAGGGGGGCATGAGGGTGGACACAGAACCCTGGAGGGGTGGGGGAAGAAGACACAGGACAGACAGACGGAGATGAGAGAGTGGAAGGTTAACCCCTTAAAGGCTGCACATCTCCTGCCCCATATCTGCCCCCCCCTTGAGGGGGGCTGGGATGGTCCAGGCAAAATCTAAGGGGGATGAGATGCCTTGTGGCCTCTTGTGGGATGAGCTTTCAAACATCACGTGCTTTCCTCAAGTGGGAGGGAGACCCTGAAGGAGCTACGTACAGCTCCATGCAAGGGGGAAGCTGCCACATCTAGCTCCAGGCACACTCCAAATAGCAGAGAAGAGGCTCTGTGCCCAAGCACATGGCCTGCATGGAAGAAGGAAGGAGGGCTATGACCTGGAAGGGGAGAGAGAGTACTAGGAAACCTCAGAAGACCAAAGAAAAGCAGCAGAATTAGAGCCAAACCCTTGAAAAGGGGGTGGTTACCGTATTTCCCCATATACCACAAACCTGTCAATAAGACACAGTCCTTGCTTTGGGGAAGGCAGAATAGAGAATAAGAGATTATTTCCAGTTCTGGCCAGACAGGACAGCCACAGAGCCTCTTCTGCCACTTCTTTACCCTACCTCTGTTGCTTAACTAAAGCTGAAAGCCTAGTGGCTGCAGAAGCCTGATCTCTATGGGCAGAGCTAGAATACTGAAAAAGCAGCTGAAATACCAGGCTGCTTGGGTGTGAAATAAGAGAAGAGACAGACAGAGAAACAGAGCAGCCTAGTGCTCTCCCTGACATACCTAGGAGAAAGGTCAGCTTGATTAGTGGAACAGCGAATCATAGGGAAGCAAGACTGGAAGGGACCTCCAGAGTCCACATTAGTCCACCCCCCTGCCTGAAGCAGGATCATCCCTGTCCAAACCATCCCAAACAAAGCCATCATCTACACTTCATAAAACTACCATCAACCCTGACACAACACCAAACATCACCCCTGAACCTACCACAGGGAAAGCAGGGGGACCATGGCAGGCAATGTTCTGTTGCTGTAAGAGATTGTTAATAGACACTTGAGAGGTCCCAGGCAGAGGCCATGCCCCTGCTACAGAGGAAGGCAACCCCCACCACCCTCAGTCCATAACAATCTGACCAAGGGGGGAAATTCCTTCCTGACCCTAAATCTGGTGTTGTTCTGGGCCTGAGCAGATGGGCAAGACCCTCTAGTCAGCACCATCCAGATTTGAGACAACCCAATCACCATTCCCAGCCTGGGCTGCAGCCAGCACCCAATGCCTCTGGGGGAGGCTTGAAACCCCTGATGTGTAGCAGAAAGGTCAGGGGTGACCAGCAAGCCCAGATACCTGGGCAATACTCACAGAAGAACACAGGCTACACCCAGTTCATCCTGGGCCAGTGGCTGTCTAACCTCTTCTTGAACCACTCTAGTGATGAAACCTGCACCTTCCCTGGGTGTCTGGTCCACTGCCCTAACAGTGAAATTTTTTTTCCTGATCTCCAATTAAAACCTTCTTGGCTACCACTACAAGCCCACTGATCTTCACTCTGCAGGTACTGACAACCCTCTCTCCTTTTTAAGGCTCATGATGGTCCACTAATCCAGCTGACCTTTCTCTTGGGCCTGATGCTCACTGCGCCTCCTTGTCCCTCTCGTTCTGGTTCACAGTCCACCACACACTTTTTACAGCTGTAGATCTGCCCGCAGAGATCAGCAGTATCTAGGGGTTCAGCTTCCGGTTC